TTGGTTACAACGATAACTCTTTTCCACCTGATCATTCCATACGATACCTCACGGACTACCGCTTTAGTCTACCTCGCCTTAGTACGGACCGAGCCTAGAGAAGTATAGCCTAACCCCGTGTAACATTGCATGAACCCTCGAGAAGATGCTAATGGCAAAACTCAAGTGGCCGACGGCGTACATTCACGTCTTCGTAATCGTATCCTTTGCGACGATAGTATCCATGTCAAGAAGATGGGATTATCATGTTACCGCGTTGCCGCCTCTGCAGACGCTGTCAAAGAGGTGCTTGGTGGCTCTCTTCCTCATTGGTGGGAGCCTACCACAGCTCAGAATCGGGTGTGCATACTCAATGATGGTAGTGACCGCTTTGTTGCCGCGTATCCACTCCGTCATCACGAGTACATGAACTTCTCATGCATCTTTCCTTCCCGTATGTCGAAGCAAAGCAACAGAACCAATTCATGGTCTGCGGACGCGAACAGCGACGAGATTATAGAGATTTTTCATGATTTTGAGGAGTCTTTCCGCAAGATTCTTAGGTAAGTAACGTTTTATCCTGTTCACCACACCCTCAAACAGAGTTTCACTTTTTGCTCACATTTTCTTTCCAAGCATCGCGACAGAAGTAAAATATTGGGAACTACAGGAACTTGATGCTCTGCCTACTTGGACTCGGGGCCGTGCAATTGTCATCGGAGATGCCGCCCATGCAATGCCACCGCTGCAAGGTCAAGGAGCTAATCAGGCTGTCGAAGATGGTGAGAGCTTCCGTTTGCTTGAAGGGGTGGAGCCCAGAGATGTTCCGAAAGCTCTAAAGCAGATCGATAGTCTGAGGAGACCCCGAGCAACGCAAGTTCAAGAAGATACCCGTAATATGGCCGGTGAAGTCAGTTGGGAGGACAGAATGGCCAAGTACGATTTTCTGTATAGTTATAACGGTATTCGTGAGGCTTAGAAAGCACAAATAGATTTCTACTTGGGTACCCTGTTATAGAATGCCTCTATACCCTAGAGGACCACTGTAAAGATTATTCTTATACCTTCTCTACCAATATTAAAAAAAGGAAAGAAGAAAGAAAAAACTATTTATACATCCGAAAAGACTCATAGACACTTCACTCTTCTCCTTCTTGTCTTTCAACGGCTCACCTCACCCCCTCATCTCGATCTTTTTTTTTTACAAGAACCACAATAGCTAACCATCTACTCAATCCTCTTCTTCCCCTCCTCCAGTCCCAACAACCTCGCATCACTCTTGCCCCTCTCGTGTTTCGCCGAACCCCCAACCAACGGTCCCACAACAGGATGGTTCCGGACCTTCTGTAGCGTCTCCTGGAAAGCTTCAATTTGCGGGGGTTGTCGGTTTAGTTTAGGCCAGTTGACCTGTTTGAGTGAGGAGAGGAAGTTAGCAAGCCGTTTTTGCGAGAAGGAAAAGGAAGAAAAGAGAGCTCCCTGGACGATGGTGCAGATGGAATGGACAAAGACAAGAAGAGAAAGGAAAAGAGACGGAGAAAAAACTTACGTATAATGTACCATGTCCCCACATAAAGTTCAGACAAGCCGCAGCCGTCAGAAGAGACAAAAGGAGGAGAAGACGCAAAGGCCAGACAGCAGCATCAGGCGCTCTCCGCGTCAGACTGCCGACGAGTATGAAGAAGACGGCCGCAGCGAAGATATACGGTATCGACTGAATGAACAGTGGCCGTCTATCCGCAAAGAGAAGTTGTCCACCCCCAACCCCATCGCTCGGCAGATAATTACCCAAGAAGAGATCAAACCCATCTTGTCTCGGCCCATCAGCAAAGTTATTGAGACAATATCTCGTAATACTATTATTCAAATCCTGCAACGCACCCGCCTTGGTCCTCACGCCCAGTCGAGTGAAATCAGTCTTGAGTGCGCCTGTGCCCGAATACGACTTGGACACAACATCCGCATTATCGGCCCAGACGTTGCGGAACAGAAACTCAAAGTCTTTATCCTCCTCGGCCGACTCGCCTTCGCGCAGGAGACCGAGGTCAATCAACATGCGTGACAGGACGAAGCGCCCCAGCATGCTCTGCACGACATTCGTGCGGTCGAGACAATCCATGCAATTCGTGCGCACGACAGCCGTCTGGTGGCGGCGGACTTCCACACCCGACCCATCGCCCGGCATATCGACGCCACAGAAATATCCGTGGCGCAGAATGTGCGGTTCGAGCTGGTTGAGCAGGAGCTTAGCGCGGTCCCAGCGGAGACCCTTTGTTTCGTTGTGGAAGTCAAAGTAAATGTAATGTAATCGATCGTAGACGGTTTGCGCCTTTGCCGGATCGATAATGTGGAACTTCTCCGACGTGATGCGGTCGCCTTGGACGTTTTCCGAAGGCGACGTGTGCAGCAGGTTGACCATTTGCTCGTAGGCTTCTTTGACGCGCTGCTCGCGGCCCTTTTGGTTGACGAGGTTGACCATCCAGTTATCGCCGTAGAGGCGGATTTGTTCGGCAAAGTGCTTCTTTGCGGCGGGGAGGGCGTTGTCGATGCCGCGGATTTGCAGCTTGGGCGTGTACTTGAGCGTGTTTACTTCGGCCCAGTAGACGGGTACGCTGCCTCTGGTCTGGACGTAAGCGAGGACTTGAGTCTCCTTGCCCGCCGTGCTGGACGGGTTCTGGTTGGAGCCGAAGCCGCCGGGGCCGCCTGATGCGTTGTCGTTGAGGATGATGGTCTGTTCGGTTTCGTTGAAGTTGGACACGTTGCCGTTCTCGTCGATGCCGCGGGAGAAGTAGCGGGTGCCTGCCTTGAGGCGCGAGCGGCGCGTGATGAGGATAAAGGTGAGCGGCGTGCCCTTGATAGACGTGTTTTTAATCTCCAACATGCCGTACATGACGGGCAGGATGTAGGGGTCTGCGCCCGGCTGGTGGCCACTCGAGTGCCTGCCATATCCGCCACTGAGACCACCGCGGAAGTCGATGAGGTCGCTGGACACGAAGCGGTTCCAGTAGAAGCGGTCGTCTGCGCGCTTCCACAGGGGGGTCGAGGGGTCGAGGTGGGCCTGGCGCTGGAACGTATTTGTTATGTCGAACGAGTAGGAGAAGAAGAGCGGGCTGGTCTTGATGAGCGTCTTGAGGAGACTGAGGTAATTATCTTCGTCGGCATCGTGCAGCGGCTTTTCGCGTAGGGAGAGGAACTCGGTAGCGACGACTCTGTAAATCATGTGGCCTTTGATCCTACCCATGGGCTGGGCCTTTGTGATGACAATGATGTACTTGTCTTCACATGTCAGCATTCGCTTTCGTGTCGCCAGAAGTGCAGCGCATACCCAGTCGCAGCTTGATCATGCCGAGGATGCCAGCAATGCTCGAGACCCTCTTGGAGCCCAGCAGCTTGCCATCATGAAGGCGGATGTCACCTGACGGGCGGTCGACGACGAGGGTAGGGGCTGAGGGCGACGATGGCGAGGAGAAGGCGTAGTGCGAGGGCGAAGAGTGGACATTGATGTCGCGGTAAGGGAGGGCGACACTCATGGCGGCGGGTGACTATAGGCTGAAGAGCGTGGAGCTCTGTCCTGGAGTCGTGTGGAGTAGTTGTTTGATACGTCGTGTTTTCGACGACGGACTGTTCCAGGGTTTCGTCATGGCGGCCATTGCGGCCAAGGGTCCCCGACTCGTGCGCTAGGGCCAAGCACCGGGACGCAGCACCTCGTCACAGCACCCACCAGCTCTTTCACCCTCACCCCAACACCACGCCTCTACATATTCCCTCCCACAGCCCGATATACCGACTGCTCTCGACAGTCTGTCCGCCGCTTCCACCGCTTCCGCCCTTCCACCGCCCAACCTCGAATACCCTACACCCGATAGCGCCGCGTCACCCCCGTCATGTCGGCCAGGATGCAGCAAGGTCAACGGCCTGGAGGCTCTAGATTTGCACAGTTCAAGCTGGTGTTGCTGGGTACGATCTGTTTTCAAAAAAAAACTGTTGGCGCAACTAGATAGACTAACAAGCACCAGGAGAATCCGCCGTCGGAAAGGTGCGCAAGCCTATCAAGGCAGCCATGACATAAGCTAACACCTCGCAGTCGTCTCTCGTGTTGCGCTTCGTCAAGGTGCGACATGCTCCTACCGCAAACACATGGGAGCTCAGCCGCTAACCCGACCAGGATCAATTCGACGACTACCGGGAATCCACCATCGGCGCCGCCTTCCTCACCCAGACCATCGCCCTCGATGAAAACACAACCGTCAAGTTTGAAATCTGGGATACCGCCGGTCAAGAACGCTACAAGTCGCTCGCGCCCATGTACTACAGAAACGCAAACTGCGCCGTAGTCGTCTACGACATCACACAGGCTGTACGTCCTTGATAATGCCATGGAAAGAAAGAAAAAAACTAACATAGCCCGTGAACCTTCCAGGCCTCCCTAGACAAAGCAAAAGCCTGGGTAAAAGAACTCCAACGCCAAGCCAACGAAAACATCATCATCGCCCTCGCGGGCAACAAACTCGATCTCGTCACCGAATCCCCCGATAAGCGCGCCATTTCCACGGCCGACGCCGAGCAGTACGCCAAAGAAGCCGGTCTGCTCTTCTTTGAAACGTCGGCCAAGACGGCTGAGAATGTTAAAGAGCTTTTCACGGCGATTGCGAAGAAGTTGCCGATTGATCAGGCGACGGGGCCGAGGAACTTGAGGCCGGGACAGCAGCGCCAAGGGGTTAATTTGAGGCCCGAGGCTAATCAGACGCAGGGGCCTGGTGGGTGTAACTGCTAGAACTTGATCATGGGCTATTCATGGCGTGTGCGAAAGGGGTGCTGTAGATTGTGTAAACTTGGGCATGGGGAATCTATGTACGCCATCGCCCGGATAGTGTGTGTCTGTGTTCCTTGTGTCTTCCACTATGTTCATTCTGGAACATATTTGGGCCTTTGGTGGGGATACGGAGTCAGGATTTTGTTTTGGTCGTTATCAGTTTCCCTTGTATTTCAAGAAGAGAGAGAGAGAGAAGATATTGGGGCCACCTGAGCTTTTTTTTAATTAATGATTTCGACAATCTGCTCTCCTGGTTCCGTTTCTTTCTCTTGTCCATGGTCTATTTCTGTCCAAGGGGCGGAAACGTTTTGCAACTTGATGGTGAAAGAGAGGTTCAACGAGAGATTTTGTGGGTTGAGGAAGAGAGGAGAGGATCGATTCACTCGAGTCCAAATTGTAAGTTCTGCGCAAGGTTTGTGTTGATTGGAGAGTCTGCGCTTCAAGATGGCAAAGTCTGCTTATTGTGCGTTCGCGTAGAACGACTGTGGTCTGCCTCTAGGTGGTCTCGATGCACTTGCAGTGTCTGACGACGTCATCGTGATTTCCCCTACATCAATTCGCTCTGGACTATTTCCTCTCTACACCACTTCTTTACACAAGACCTCCTCTTACAAAACTTCTCCTCGCAACACTTCTTCTCGCAACACTTGCCCAGCATGTAACATTGTTGAAGTAGGTAGCTTTCAACACAAGACGTTACACACAGGAGAAAAGCGCTGACAATACTTAGGCATCTCGAGTCCTCGTCATCACCCTCGTCCTCGGTATCGTCACCCTCATATTCCCCATTTCAATCAACAACGCTCGCACCGGTGATTCCTGAAGCGAGACACACAAGACTTAGGTGCTAACAAAGCTTCAGAAAGAGCTGGAAGCCGGGCTGCGATAGCGCGAAGCAATGCCATAGTATATTCCGTCTCACCCCACCGTACTGCAGAGCCATGGACGACTAGCCATTCCCACCTACCGCATCAACGTTGTTGCCATCGATGGAACGTACTCCGGACGACCAAAGCCTGCCAAGGGTGTCTGCACCTCAGCGCTGGAAGGCGTCCACCTTGCGGCTAGTACCCTTCTGCGCCAGATGTCTCTCCCCAAGGCCCAACGTAGCCGACCCTTAGAGCCAATCCTTTTCCCGAAGTTACGGATCTACTTTGCCGACTTCCTTTGTCTACATTATTCTATCAACTAGAGGCTGTTCACCAGTGCCTTATCAGAAACTGGCACTTCACTCGGCTCGACTTGAGTCATATCGTGCCCGCAAGTGTACCGAACTGTGCACTCATCGATAACAACGATTATCAACACTATTGCGCACCACCCTACGTCAAGCCAACAGCCTTGAGAGGCGCACGCGCGCTACGCTGAAAGAGCCAACGATCCTTTCCCCTCATTCGAAAGCATTTCTAATTGTCGTCGAAGATGTGGTGGTAGCCTCTTTGCTGTCCGGAAGTAGTGGTGGTTAGAATTATGCGTGGCTGGTATCTGTAAAGAACAACATATGCAAAAGGAAGAGCGCCGAGCTCGATTCCCCGCAGTCGCGCTGCACTGACGCTGAAAGGGCTGCAGGGAAAGTGCCCTGCTACATGGAAGCGGACGTTGTTTGGCTCGCTAACCGCCTTCAGAATAACTTTGCATTACATGAAACAGGGTGTGTAGGACATGGCTTACTCTGATGGCCGCTCTCGATGTGCCATAACCTCTTGCAGCCCCCAAACTCACACGCAGCACTCGCTTATCTGCTGCTACCATTGGTCAGCCGGTCGCCTCCAATAATCTCAGCCTTACATGGAGTAGGCTGTGCAGGACATAGCATGCTCCGATGACTGCTCTTAATGCGCTGTAGCCTCGACCCGCAACAAAGCTTGTTGAAAGTGATTTTGAATGTAGCAATCCTACATTATTGACATCAGAGTGGCACGGTTGGTCATTGCGCTTATCTTTATATCTCTATATTATCAAACATCGCTCACGATAGCCCTTCAATTGCATATGAATTTGTGCTTGGATTTTCTTGTCGAAAGCTCTTCCATCGGGGCGCCGTTTATGCACATCAATCAACCGGGATGTCTTTCCAAGGAAGCCATCCTACTGGAAAGCAAGACGTTTTCAGGTTCATTGCCTCTCTTGTCTGGCCCATCACTTTGGTTTTTACTATTGTCCTCCTAGGAGCTACTAAGCTCCACGACAAAAATTTGAACATCTTTGCTATAGCGTTCCTCGCTGCTAACGTCACTTGGGTCGTCACATTGGAGATAGCCGTGCGTTCCAACCGGTCGGGAAAGTGTCTATTCAAGGCCTATATGTAAGTTATTGTTCCATTCTTTATACATATAACTGGAAGTAGCATCCAACTGATCACTGTGGGGCGCAGAAAGCAGTCCAAGAATGAAAGTTTTGGATATGGACCTTCTATGGCCTTGTCGCGCCGTGGATTTGACAGGCAAACTGCGAACGAAATGACTGATGTGCAGCAATCTCCGTTAGCTGCTAGCAACCCAGTGCTTCCTGATGGCCTAACACATCTTAGCCGCCCTGCCTTCCATACATCCACCTCCAGTCTTGGACCGACCTGTAACGTCTACTCTCCATTGATAGGCGACGCAATCCGCTTGCTTCATATCCTTCCATCTACAAACGAAACGTGGGGCTTGGAAGCCGACCTAGTACATTTCCCACTACTATCTGCTCAATTAAAGAACTACAAAGCCTTGTCTTACACATGGGGAGAAGAGAAGGCTTCGGTATCTATTGCCATAAATGGTGTGTCTATGTTGATCAGACCAAACCTTGACAAGATACTCCGGAAACTAAGGGCTCTTGAATATGAGTATATTTGGGTAAGCCCAGGGGGCTCTAAGATTTTCAGCAGCTCGAGAGTTAACAGCAAGTTTAGGTTGATGCTATTTGCACAAATCAGCAAGACGACACAGAACGTAGTGCCCAGGTCATCCGCATGCGAGCCATCTACTCTGGAGCACAATCAATAATCGTCGCCACTGAAACTGGAGCTTCGACCGCTGCAGACCGGATCATCCAAATACTTGATTCCGTTGGAAAAGCATCATATCCGATCAGCCACGCTACCATTGTCGCCGATACCAGTTATGCCGCCGATACACTCAACGACGAACTGACTTTCTCGGCGCTTGAAGCATTCTTTAAAGACCCTTACTGGAAAAGGATATGGATCTTACAGGAGTTTGCGATTGGAAACAACACAGAGTTTCTCATCGGGGATCGTACGATTGCGGTCACCAAGTTGCGGGCATTACTCAATAAGCTGTACACACAAAGTTCAGTTCAGGATCGGTGGAATCAAGTATACACGGTTTTCAAGATCCGAAGGGATTGGCAGGGAGAAGTTTCACTGAAACTTCTACTACTTCTTGAGATCACTCAGGGATCATTGTGTGGTGTCAGACATGATCGCGTCTTTGCCCTACTTGGACTTTCGGTCGATGCGTTGAAGTACTTGCCCGAACCAAATTATAATATCGACCTGACCACGATGACAGTGGCAATCACACGCGCCTACATTCAGAGAAACACGTTAGAGATCATCCTCTTAGCCCCACATTGCCCTCACACTGATCTACCGACCTGGTCTCCAAACTTGTTCCATTTCGATTCCTTCCCTCCTGAAAGCCGACTAATCCACATGATATCGAACAGCGATTCCAAATCCCGGTGGCGAGCGACAATTGAAGCGGAATCAAGTATAACCTTTCGAGACCAGAGCTTCCTGACGCCTGCTGCTCGCATTGGATCCATTCGCAGTCTTGGAACTACATTTTCCGACCCTACGGAAACAGGATTTCCAGTCCACGACGCTACCTGGGCCCGAAAAGTAGGTTCTTCTCATCTCTGTAGAGAGTTGTACGAAGTAATGCTTGAAGAACTTTACACGCCAAACGCCAAACCTTCTTCTCTCAAGCTGTCTCACATGCGCATGTGCACGGTACATGGGCATAGTTTCGTGAAAAGCTTTCTCCCGAGCCATGGGTCGCCGGATCCAGAAATGCTACATAGCGAATTGGTGAGATGGATTTGTGCGAACAGAGCCTTTTTCAATGGCGCAAGCACACTGGCGGAGAGTGCGACGCGACTTAGACACCCCTTCTTGATGCATGGCTGGAATGCTTGGGATAGGACTTACTGGAATAACAAACTTTGGGGAAATCAAGCGGATCAGGTTTGGGCAAGAATGAACAGGACGGCAAAACTAGACATGCGCTTGATGTGCTTGGATGATGGCCCAAAGTACAAAATCGGTTGGGCGGCGAAAGGAGCGCGACTGCACGATGGAGTTTTTCTTATTCCTGGTTGTAGCAGCCCTGTTATTCTACGCAAGCGGCCTGACGCAAAGTACGAGGTTGTAGGTGACGCGATCGTTACAGGAGCTATGCAAGGAGAGCTTTGGGAGAAGTTGCGTTCAGAACACGTTCAGGATATTGAGATTGTGTAGAAGTATGTGAAGAAGAAACAAGGTCGGCATCGCTTGCGAGTGTACCAAACTTTGCAAGAGTACGGGGCATGGGGTGATCCCAATAAACATGAGGAGTCTGTATCTGTTGTCATTCCAGTGAGAGAAGCTGAGCAAGAGGATAAACAAGGGCGAAGACCACAGAAAAAGGAACAAACACCTACTCATCCCAAAGATGTTCGCTTGCTTTCTTGCCTATCTCATGCCACCAACTACCAGCTTCCCAAACACCCCGTTTCACACATACACCAACCCTTCCAAATCAACCTCCACCACCTCCTCCTTCCTCCTCCTAAACCTCAGCCGATTCCCCTTATCCAACGCCTCCGTCTCGCCAAACAATATCTTCGACGACAAATCACAATTCTCACCTACCTCCCAGTCATACTTGAGCAGCAAATGGCATAGCGCAATCTTCATCTCGTTTGCGGCGAAAAACCGCCCGGGGCAGCCTTGTACGCCGTGGCCGAAGGAGAGGTTGTCTGGGCCTGTGGATACGAGATGGGCTTGGCTGGCTTTGGTGGGGTCGAGACGCATGCGGTAGTAGCGGTAGATGTCGTATTTGTCTGGGTCGGGGTAGATGGCTGGGTCGGACATGTGGTAGCCGTCTACGGCGATTTGTTGGCCTTTGGGTATGACGGTGCCGTCGGGGAGGACGACGGTGCGTTTGGCTTTGCGGCGCATTGTTACTGTTTGGTTTGACGTTAGTATCTGTCACATGTTTGATTTGTTGTTCTCCTTTTCTTTCTTTCTTTCTCTCTCTCTCTCTCTCTCTCTCTCTCGCCATTTTCCAAGAAAAGGATAAAAGACGGGTTTTTGCACAACTTACAATACGCAGCGGGCCTATACCTCTGCGATTCCTTCAAGCAGCTATCCATCAACTTCAAATTAGCCAGCGCCCCCTTTGTCAACCCCTCACTACTTAACACCCGCACAATCTCTTCTCGAAGCGCGTCTATATATTCCGGCTCACTTGCTAATAGCGTCAAGGCATGCGTTAGCAGCTCACTTGTCGTATGTATCGCCACAAACGACAGCGCAGTCTGGAAAAGCGCTGGATCGTACTTGGTCCCTCGAGCTTCCTGCTCGTACCAGTCAATCATGTCGTTGAAGACGGGTTCGGGCTGCCCGTTCCGTCTTGCCTCGGCTTTTAGCGCTTGGCGCTGGGTGAATAATGGGGTGAGGATTTCGCGGCAGAGGTTTCCGTTTTCACGTACGGTTTTTGCTTCCGAGGAGAGGTAGGGGACGAGGAATTTTAGATATGGGGGGAGTGCTGCCATTTTGAGAGTCATGATGAAACATGTTGCCTGGGGTTCTTTACGTTAGTCTGGTGGTAATGTCTGGCTTGTATTGTCTTTTTGAATACAATGTTCTTTCGTGAAAAGGGATTTTGACTGACGGTGTAGGCTTTTGAGGCTGAGAGCCAGGCTTCGTTGCGGCACATGGTGTCACCGAGGAAGATTCTGGTGGACAGACGGGCGGTGAGTTGGAGGATCGAGTCTGCAATGACTGTTTCTTTCCATTCTGCGGGCGTGATTAATTGGTGTAAAGAAGGATGGTGAATGCATCGTACCAGGATCTTTGCCAAATATCACATCGCACGCATAAGTGGCTTCTTCTGAGAGGGGCTTTGTCAATGTGTCTTGGAAGATATTCGTTAGCTTGGTATATTCTACACAACTACTTGATCTGCTTACTCAAGTATTTGGTGAGTTGTTTCATCACAACGGTTTGTACCAGTCGTTTCTCGTGTAGCAGGACAGCGAACATTTCGAAGCCATGCACATGTCCAGAAAACATCTAATACTTGATGAGCTCCGACGTCATGTATCGACGGTATCAAATAACGTACCCTCACTACTGCTTCTGCAAAGCTAAGATCCATTGAGTTGCGAATCGTAGCCGCATACTCTGGAGGTAAGATAAGACATTCGCCCGTATCAGTAATCAACCTGTAAAGTTGCTTGCCATAGCGCCTCCTGGCTTCGCTCATTATGGCCCTCCCATTCTGTTGGAATTCCAGTCGTTTGAAAAGTGCAGTCTGATACCAGCGTGGAGGATTGGCTAGAGGTGGTTTCGCTTTACCGCTGGTCATGACAACGACCGAGAGTACAACCATGACGCCCAGAGAGATTGTCATCATCGCTGGCAAAGACGGCACAAGTGCGTCTAGCGATGGCTCCGGTGGAACATGAGGGATTCGCGATGGTCCAGGAATCGACATATTGAGGATATCGTGGTTGAATGGATGACTGGAATATCTGGTGTACACAAGAACAGCAGTTCTTATAGCGAATTCTCCATCAACGCAACCTCAACATCAGGTTCTTATCTAAGTACATCTTCCGTGCTAAGCGCATCGATAATCCCTTTGTCATCTGTACCCAGTCGTGTGGCTACATTTGACGTTGTACCGACCCACTGATCAACCACAGTCCACGGATAGCAAAAGCTCCTCCTTCCGAATGCAACCCCATATCTTTCAAGGCTCTCTTTAAGCCTTGGCATCATATGCATTGTATACGACCGACGCAATGGCTTCCCACGTTCAGAGGCCTGGTGCCTGAGCTCGAACCAACGCAACCACAACCCTCCCAACCCAACCCCCCAAATCCCTCGCCAAATCAGTCCTCTAAAATGGTAGAAAAGCCCCAAGTATAAGACGCCTGAGTGCCGTTACAGAAAAACCCCTGCCACCTGACCCGCTTTACGCTCTAACCAGGCGGGCGGGAGATTCTTTTTTTCTACCGACACTAAAACCTCCGAGTAACAACGACAGTTTCGAAAACCCTCCGAATGACGTCAGAGGCGCAGAAGTCCTGATTACTTGCGACATCCCTTATTGGCATGGTAGATACAAGGCCAGGAGCCGAAAGCTTGAGGTTGCTTGTTGAAGTCAAGTCCACCTCTTGCCATACTCTGACGGAACGGGCCGACGGCTTGGAGTTGCTTCTCGAAGCCAAGTCTGCCTACTCCCGTGTTAGTTGATACAACATCATCCGACACTTGGTTCTCATCTTGGATGCATCTTTTACTAATTCTTCTATCCTGTATAGAATAAGCGCCCAGTCCTCACTCAGCAACTGCAATTCCAGCAGAACCTATTTTTTATTCCTCAAACACTCTCTATCATACATCCCAGCGACATGAATGTCAACAACTGCGCTATATGCCCATCACTATATAGAAAACCACCATAAAAACAGCATATCTTCCCAACTTAGTAGTCAGAATGATTAACATCCCTGGCTTGCGATCACATCAGCAAGCCCATCTTTCAAATGTGCAAATCTTAACATTTACCACACTGTCAGAAATAACCTCCGAACAGAAACAAGAACAAGCAAAAAAGAATAGCTTTTCTATAGACTAATACTCGTATTGTTACAAAACTACAGTAGTATCGGACTACGGAAAAAACAAACCACCAAATGGGCGGGTTAGAGGGACGGGCAAATAAAAAAACCCACATTCGGCGCCTCCTCTAACCACCAAGAAGCTCATATCAAGCCTTGTCTCTTAATCAATAAGCAAGCTATTCAGCCTCGCCTCCGTAGCAATAACATCCAACGCCTGCTTCACCTCCAACACCCTCCTACACTCGCCCAACCAATCCTTACTCAGCACCTTAGCCCAACCCTGCAAGCCATTCATCTCACGAGCCGCGGCATCCAAATCGCCTTCCTCGAGCAAAACCTCTGTTCTGCTCAGCACAGCTTCCACATCCGCACCAACCGCCAATCCCGACTTCTTAAACAGGACCTTTGACATGGCCAAGCTAGCAAGATGGCTCGCCATGCCCGCATCCTCGGGCAAGAGCGCCGCTTTCCTGACTTCTGCCGCGACGCGGCGGAAGCGATCGATGAGGAGAGCGGAGCTGGGAATACCGCGCTGGTACGCTTGTGGGTTGATGGAAGCAATCGCCGCGCTGACGACGGGATCATCAGCCGCGATTTCCTTGAGGGCAGCCAGTTCCGTGACAAAAGGTTTGGGCGTGGCTTGGGTTTCGAGAGCCGACTTGACGGCCTCGACGGCTACGACGAGATGCTGCGTCTTGAGGTTGGCGTCGACGACGCTGTTCCACTCGCCCGTCAACTTTTCGAGCTCGTGGACAGACGACGAGAGTTCGTTGAGCTTGCCGAGGCGGCCGTCACGTTCGGCTTCGACGCGTTCGCGGACGTTTGCGGTAAAGGACTTTTGCATGTTGATGCTTTGCTCTAGGAGCTGGTTCTTGAGCTTCTGGTCGTAGACCTTTTGTGCGGCCTGGAGTTCAGACTGGAGACGCTCTTTGTAGGATTGTGATAGACGCTCGCGCTCATTCTCAAACTCCTCCTTGAACTGGGCTTCTTGGGCTTGCATTTGGTGATCGAGACGTGTGACGAGTTCCTTGGCGGCTTGGTCGAATTCCGCGTGGGCGGCGGCGACCTTGTCTTCGGTCTGCTTCTGCAGGCTCTCCTTCATCATGTTGATGTCAGACACGACCTTTGCGAGCTCGCTCTTGGCCTTGTCAAGCGCAGAGTTGTATTTGCCATCGTGGGCGTTGTCGGCGTTGATGACAGTGATGATGTTGTTGACGATCTTGACAACGTCTTGGACAACGGGCTCGGTGGCGGAGGGGACGCTGAGGTGGTCTAGCTGGGAGATGGGCTTGGCTGGAGTCTCCTTCTTGACGACCTCCTTGACCGGGGCGGCCTTCTCTTCTGTCTTGGACGGCGCGGGTGAAGGTGCACCGGAGGAGACCTTGGGCTGCTGACCACTCGACTCGGTGCTGTCGGGCTTCTTGTTGGCGTCGACAGCGCTCAGATGGGGGCCCTTGGAGCCCAGGTCGCTCTTGTTCTCCTGGGCTGGGCGCGCCGTCAAGCCGCTCCGTCCAGGGATGGTGACCTTGTTCTCGCCAGAGATCTGAGGGTGGAGCCTCGGTTCTCCAGCGCGGCCGGGGAATCGTCGCCTGAACTCGCGCTCCTCAAAGTATGCAACGGCATCCTCTCCGTACGGAATGTATTCGGTGAAGAAGTCATGGAAGTTGTCCGAGACGAGCGAGTACCAGACACCGCCGGCATAACCGAGGCCGGAGAGGACGGTGAGCCAGAGAAGGAGCTTGCGGAAGATGCGTCGCTTCTTCTTGGGCTTGGGCTGGATTGGGTCGGGGGCTATGCTCGACGATCCGGGGCCGGTGGGCGGTGTTGTCTTTGGCGATATGGCGGGCGCATCGCGAGAGGCTGCGGCAGCCACGGAGCTGTCGGGGGCGGGCGGTGCTTTGGGAACGTCCGAGGCCTGGATGGAGCCCTCGCCGACGGGGGTCGGGTTGGAGGGCGATGTGGTGGGTGCCGGGTTGGGGACGGCCGTCTCGCCCAGGTTCTTCTTATCGTCTGCGTAGAAGCGTTGGGCGACGTGCCATTGCGGGCGAGCGGCGCGGACCAATGGGCGGGCAGCTGGACGGGCCCTTAGGATGGAGGCGCGCAGCATGGTGGGCTGGCCCGGGAGATGCTGGATGTTTGAAGGGTTGGTGATGGTCGTCGATGTTGACCAAGGCCATGAAGATTTGGAGCTCAACCGACATCACACGTCAGGTGGTCCGTGTGTACCCACCTCCCTCTCGGCGCACACATAACCACGACACCGACAACACCGTCCCAAATTCGACACAACGTCGACAACATGCCGTGTCAAGTCCATATTTGCTCGCTGCACACAAGTCGCTGCTGGTAATAAGTTGCTGCTGCTAACAAGTCACTGCTGCTAATCAGTCACTAACTGCAGCTTCACTTTTCCCCCATTCTCAACCACCCGCAGCCAGTCGCTTCTGCTCACCTTGACCCTCCAACTCTCTCTCTCTCTTTTTTCTTTCTCTACATTGCATTTCACCTCTGGCTCTTTCTCTCACTCAACATCTTGCTCGTACCTTCCGTTTTGCAAACTCAAATAGACCCCGACTGAAACAAGACAAGTTAGCACAGCCTTGGGCGTCACCAGCTCGCAACGTCATCAGATCACGTCCAGAGCGCCGCCAACAGGCAGCCGCACTTCCACCTCAACAACATCCGCCCACCTTCACCCCGCGCGTTTCTAGCGGAGAGAGACCCACCTTCCAGATCCGTCTGCAGCGAGAAAATTTCACCTGTGGCTTCGTTCCTCGGCTACAAAGTGGCAAGCTCCAACACCAACATCAAGTCTGCACCTCCGTCAGCTGAGCAGAATCTGAACACCTGTCCCCACCTCCACCAAGGAAAATGGCCAACAACGCGCGACAAAGCGCCGCGGCGCATGACGACGAAGATTATAGCTACGATCTTAGCAACGCCATATATGGTCACTTCCCCATATCACCCCACCAGTCACGCGCCACGTCCCCAAACTCTTCCAAGAAAAGAAATCCCATCACCACCAGCGCCAACCAAAATCTCGCCAGAAAAACCACCATCTCACTCAACCGCCACAACGCACCTCCAACCTGGCTTCCGCAAGCCCAGCAATCTGGCAAAAGAGAATACAACATGTCCATCCACCAGAGCACGTGCTTGAACCTGAACATGGCGGCGTCGGGACAGAGTTCAGAATCCGATCTGTGGATCTTACCCGAACTCGACGACTGGGAGGAAGGCGAGGAGACGGAGACGGAATCGAGTAGCCAGGGCACCCTATCGCCATCGGCATCGCAATCGTCGACAACAGCACCCCAACCGCCAGCAGCATCTCAGGGACCCAACAAGTGGGCTGGGAGCTTTTTCCGCCGTGCAGCAAATAGTAATTTGGAACGTCTGCGGACTCGTCTTGAGGGGGATGGCTGGGATTTTGTGGGCGGGCGGTATCGTGATGATGAGATGAAGTGTCTGGGTGGTGGTGGTGGTGCTGAGGGAGAGGAGAGTTTGGATGAGGAGTTTGATGTTGTTGTTTTGTCGGGCGAGAGGGGGGTGTAGTACTACTGGTTGGTCGTGAAAGAGAAGTTACCTGGGTGAGGTATCGGTGGTAAAAAGAGAAGTATGTGGGCCGAAGACGAAGGGTTCCGACTTTGACGACAACTTTTCATGACATGAGTACACGAGGGTCTTTGCGGTTTTTTTCTAAAAGCGAGTGTTTTTCGACGATACCCCGGCTGTTTTTCTTTTGTAGTACATGCTATTGGTTGGTCACGATGGTGGAAAAGTTGACCAGAATATTACGAGTCACTAATGCAAACAAATATCGACCAACATGTCGTTATGACGGATACCCATGCTGTTGGAGATCTCTACCTGATAAATTCTGTTATCGCTTGGATTGTCCAATGAAGCTCATGTCTTCTGATCTGCATGTTATTGCCGTCGACCACTTGGAATGTATTCACGGTATACTTATCAGCGCACATGGTAACAAGTCATCATGATCATTATAACATTGTATGAAACCTATTTTCTAACAATAAGCCACACCATCCACCATGATCCGCCGTAAACGATCTCAACTCATCAAATCAGTGCACATGTGCGCCAGCCAGCTTAACCAGCTTAGGGAAATCCGGTGTTCCAAACCCAGTAATCGGATCCCAGCCTTCCGTGACGGGGAAACCTTCAACATTACATCCATGGCTGAAGCCCTTGGTAATATCAGTAAGGCCCTTGTACCCCTTCTTGTACAACCAAGGGTTCAAGAAACCCAGAGTGGGCTTGCCACTCGCCAACAGCGCATCGTTGACTAGGGAGAAGATACCAGCAGTCAATGGGCAAGACGCCGAAGTACCAGAAATGGTGCCTTCGGTGCCGTTCCAGAAGTAGGCAAAGTACAGACCTTGGGCAGCCAGATCAGGGTATCCGCGGCCCGTCTTGTTGTACAGACCCTCGTAGGTATCGCCGAGCGAGTCAACGTACTGTGGCACGACGCTGTCCTGGTACCAAGGGCGGGGGAAGTAGTTGCTAAAGCCACTGCCGCTAGAGTAGAGATCGCGGAAACCAGCAGACGTGTTGCGACTCGGGCGGTAAGCCGATTCCTCGGGCTCAAAGTTCATGGTCGCACCGACAGTGGTGACGTAGGGGCAGGAGGCGGGGAAGTTGGGCTGGAATTGGTACTTGTTGCGGCCGTCGTTTGTGTAGCAGGTGTCTGTGCCGCCGAGACCGCGGTCGCCGGAGGAGAAGAAGAGCGTTGTGCCTCTGGCACCTACTTGGGCGAATTGCTTGCAGACACGCTCGGCGTAGCTCTTGGGCACGGTCTGCTCCGAGTCGCCGTACGAGGTGGAGATGATGCGGGGGATGGAGTGCTGGGAGAGCAGCCAGTTCACCCACACGAGGTAGGGCTCGTTGGTGTTTGTGGGAGTGGAGACATCGGGTGTGAAGGGAGGTGAGCCGCCGGTGGAGAAGGAGGTGATGGGTGTTTTCCAGCTGATGCCCGAGATGGCTTGGACATCGAGGTTGGCCTCGCGGCTGATGCCTTCAACGGTGGACTGGTTGTAAGTCAAAGGACCGTCTTGAGTGGGGCCGTTGTCGATGGAGATTTGCTTGAAGGCGTAGGCTTGGGATACGGCTTCTGGGCGGTATTTCTCCAGGAACATCTTGGTGTCGGGTCGGATAGGGATCTCGCCGAGGTAGTTTGTGAAGCCGACGCTGTTCTTGCGGCTGGCTTTGGTGTGGTACCATTTGGTCTTGTAGAGAGTCTGGAAGCATTCCGGGGTGACGGATGTCACGTTGCAGACAGCAGAGATGGAGGAGTTCTGGGGTGTGTGGTAGCTCGCGGGTACCTCGACCGCCTCATCGACAAACGTCGCCTCGTTGGGGGCAACGCGGAAAAAGGATGTGGTAGGCTGGATGGTGTCGATGTGAGCGTGCAGGTGGCGGGGCAGAGACCAGGCAGTTGTACGCGCAACAATGGAGCCATCCTTGTGCTTGTAGGTGTGGTACTCGGTGTCGAGAAGGCTCTCGACCATCTCAATGGGAAGATGGACAATGACCCAATCCTTAGCCGAGCTGTAGCCCACATTATCGGTGTCGATACCGCTTTCGCGGAGCCACTCGTGCACCAGGTCGTGAGTCTCGGAGCTAGGCGCAACAAGCTCGTCAACCTCATCGGCGCTCAGATGCTGACCGTAGCGCTTGTGGTCTGGGTCGGAGACTATGCCATGTCAGCTACTCAAAGGTACCCAGATCTCAGATGCAACGAACGTACCTTCATGAAGATGGCGGTCAAGCTCCTCAAATCGACCCTGCTTGAGACCAATCTGCAGCTGGATAGTCTTGCCACCATGTGCCCTCTCGAGCTTGGTCCACTCCCTCGGCGCATAATGCGTCTCTTTGACAACATATGGGCTTCGAGCCTGGATAGGAGAAGCCAGCGCATCACGCGCGGCGACAGCAGCCAACACAACAGTCGCGAAGATCTGCATAATGAATATTGGTCTTGAGAGCAGATGGCAGACGCGCCCAGTCGCATCAAGCAGTCTTGATAGCTATTTAAGCTTCAGCGAAGCACCGGCTAACGTCGCGTCATTACTACCCAGAAGCTCGTTGGTACCTTGGCGTACTCCAGGGCCTGCTGCCCCATGTGGAAGGTTGATAATAAGGTGCATAGTACTTGCATGTCGATCCCCGTATAGTCGGAACAAACGCGACTGCTTTCCTATCGCCTGGGAGCGCGCAATCTGCATCGCGGCAAGCTGGAGATTGCCAGGATGGCACAAACGACATGCAGCATGCACATGGCGTGCTGCAATTCGTGGCGTGGTGATATGATAACGGTAATGACGATGTTCGCAGAGGCCGGGGACAAGGCTTGCGACATTGCAGGTCAGTTGGTGTTGCTAACGGAATAGCCTCGGAAGTAACCGCGCTAACGCCAGAATAGGAAGCTACAAAACTTGGACTCATTCGTGCCGCTCGATAAACAAGCAAAGTCAAGCCGCTAGTCGGTGGAACTGACGGCATTCAAGCTGGTCTTGGTAGAGCTTGAGTCGGTCTTGGGAAGGTGATTAAGTGGACCGTGTTCCGGACTCGACTGACTACCAACGACGACCCCGCCGCCAACCTGGTTGACGGCTTCGAACGATTGTACTGGGTCCGGTAAAACAGGAACGCATTTTCGAGCTCTTCATTGGTGAATTGGACATCAAGGTGCTCGCATTAATCTGTTTTCTACCATGGGTGGATGGGCAATGGGATTCAGCGCCGCGCGGTAGTCTAGCCTGACAAAGAATGATGTGAACTCTTGATAACTATACTATAGTGTGGTAGTCCTCACTGGAAACTTGTTGCTCACTATGCTTGCTTCCGAAGATCTCAGGACGAATGCGACGAAACAACCACATTTGATCTTTATAAAGTGGCCTTGAGGTAACTGCGGCAACGACAGTGATCACATACCCACTTATTGTTATAGTCTTCCTCCTTCCACTACCGCCCAATGATCTTCCCATGTCAACCTCCATTTTACACTCCATCACAGAAAATCATGCTATCTGTATGTCAACGATGCGACTTATCACATGACTGCCAAGGACGCCACCG